GAAAACGATGGAAGGCTAGAAGCATGGAGAAGTGCACTTGACCTCGTTGGAGTCGCGGCCCGCCACACGCCCGTACGTTCCATGGCTGGCGAGAACGATTTCGCTAACCCCTTATCCTGACCTCCGTTGGTGCCCCGTTCGTCCCCGTCTAAATCTTTTCGCCATCGGTTGCGAGCTTCGAGCTCCGAGTCGGAGCAACTGCCGGCACCTCGAGTATCCCCGGTTCTACCTCGGGGCTAAAGAATATCACTCGAGTTCTACGCAATTCACCAAGGCACTTGAAAAGGCACACATCGAGACAAATCTAATTTTATTAGTATTTCATCTCAACCCGGAAAAAGACAGGTCGAGACAAATGAGAAAAAGTCACGTATACAGATCGCACGCGTTGTCATAGATAATCATTATCATATATGATTGTAGATTATTGTACGATCGTGACGATCATTTTATTAATTATCTCTGATTTTACTAGTATTTTATCCCAATTATAAAATATTATCTCGCCGATAATAAAAACGATCAATTCGTATGTTTCTATTGAAATTTTCTGATTTGATAACGGTGCTTCATGATCTTTTGTTAAATATATACGATGTCTGGCAAATCATGGACAATACATCGAAAGAAATTTTTCCATTTAAAACTCCCGGTTGGGTCGATCGTGTTTGGTAAGGTATCGATTCATTGAATAAATTAAAGTTTCGTGACTGAAGGCATCTCGATAGTATTAGATATTCTGCTACGTATTTTTTCCATTACTCTGAGCTTTTCTTGACCGACTGGTTTTTAAAAAAATATTTCCTTTCGCGTTCAGTTCTGGTATCAGACAAAACATTGTCCCCTGGTAACAGTAAAAATCTCAGCAATCTGTACATTCGTGTTCGTATTGCTCTTTGTCATCTTGACTTCAGTTCTCGGGAAATGTATCCACGTTCGAAAATTACATTTTAGAAAAAATTATGTACTAACGAGGCTTGCTTAGAGAACACCTAATGATGAAAATCGGGTTCGATGCTTAAGAACGAGACTCGCGATATTTCTGAAGATTACCGAGTGATTATATTTATGATTTTCGCCAACTATTTAGTTTATATAATATATATATATATATAAATATAAATAAATAGATAAATAAGTATATAAACATATATAATATGTTTACGTTAATTCAATTTGGTTATTCTGCTCTTTTAGTTTAATTTCTATCACATATGAAAAAAAAGATGAAACATTTCTTTTATTCATCCGAGGATAAATACGCGATCAGGGAAACGTTCTCTGCACTGGCTGGCGGTACAAATAATAAAAATTCGTACTTGTGGCCCCGTCGATCGGCTAAAGTCGTTTCTGCTGCCATGTTTCGTCGCGCGTCGAGCACTCGGAGACATTCCCCTCTCCCTCCTTCACTTCGCCGAGGAAATCGTTATTGTTTGGATAAAAATTCGCATTATTTGTGAGCCAAAGGAACCGAGGCTTTTGTGGATTATAGCAGCTTGCAGCTGGTTTGCACGATAAAGACATTGGCCGATAGTCGGACGTTAAACCGACGCTTTTGAGTTTCCGTCGCGCTCGTGGAAACTGATTAAGGTGAGTCGAGAAAAGGAAAGAAGGAGAACGAAGAAAGAGACACGGAACTCCCGACTATATATATATATATTTTTTTTTTTACTTTCTTGTTGGAAAGAGTTGGATGACACGGCCGAAATTGCAGCCGGCTCAAAAGCCCCTTTTCGCGCCATGAAAGACGCTTGAACCTGGCTTCGGTCAAAAACGCGAGAGGCCGATAGCGAGTAGATTAATTTGTTTAAAGTATGCATTCAGGGCAGAGTTTCAGGGGGAGGGCGAGACAGTCCTTGGATCGTAGTTGCCTTACGCCGCCGCCTTCGGCGAATATGCCTTCACGTTCACTCTGAAAATGGCGGTCGAGCTCGGTTTAACGCTCCCGGAATATCGCATAACCTACATACGCGCCGCATTTGCCAAGGCAATTCCAATGTCACCGTGGCTGTTCCGACGCGGCGTATCGGCGTATCGGTATTTATTGCGAAACGATTCCCGAAGATCGTAATCGGTCGGTACGCGTTCGCTGAAAATACCGCTCATTGTTCCATCTGTATCGACTGCGCGCGTAGTATACGGGCTGTCGTGTAACTGCTGGCACAACCGAAAACGAGATAATTGCATGTGGAAACATAAGCGGGAACGATTTGTTCATTTGGAGCTTTGTTTTCTCTCTTCCTTTTTTGTTTTTGTCTTTTTTTTTTTTTTTTTTTT